GGATTGCGATTTTCGTACACAGGTGCGAGGTGAAGCTTGAGGAGATCGAGAACCTCTTGGTGAAGGAGGTGAACCCCCCCACTTTGGGGACAGTTTTGCAGAAGGCCAAAAGGGAGGCATGGAAACCGTTTGAGAAATGGGAGCCAGCCATGGCAGAAGGGAACCGGCACATGCTCCCGGTAGTCGGCGCTCATGTCTGGGTTGATGGGAAGGAGAGGAAGATGGTGTATAAGATGAGCGGTCCCGGGAGGTGGCCGCTCACCAAGGAGGACGCAGGCGTTGAAGAGCTCTATGTGCTGGACAGAGCGGCGCCAACCGGGACCGTGAGGCAGCTCACTGACGAGGAGGTGTGGCAAGCACAAGGTCGTTCAAAGGAGGAGTGGAAAAGGGTCGTGGAGGAGCTGGGGACAGTGCAAGCAGCGAAGGAGGGTTGTATGGCCACAGGGCGTCGTACGGCGTTGGCGTTGCTGGGTGTCACTGCGGAGCTCTACGGCAAGGAGACGGACGAGAAGGCGGGCATGTGTCACGATTATGAGGACTATAAGTCGCTGGGAGCGATGTTGGCATGGCTGAGAAGGTGGCGGCGAGGAGACTTCGGCAGAGCGCACCCTGACCGGAAAGCAGGTGGCAGCGATGCAACGAGGTTGGTGTGGTTGTGGGGCGAGGATCTATGGATCCACGCCTTGGACATGGAGGAGGAGCTTGAAGATGGGAAGGCCGGAGGACGCAAGAAAGGGTCCAAGAGTCCCAAGGAGATTGAAGCGCGCAAGGTGGTGAACTTTGAGCCCGACCAGTTTGGGGACCTGGACATCAAGGCGCAGGTGGAAGAGTGGTTGGATGACCACATGCAAGGAGACAAGGCGGAGAGCACGCAAAGGGCATATGCAGCTGCATGGCAACGCTGGTGCGCCTGGAGTGAGCGACAGGGATGGCTCTCACCCTACCTGGACTACAAGGCCGACCAGGTGGAGAATGAGAACAAGCTCTTGGGCTATTTGGGCTACTTGGGCTGGCTTGGGACGTCAGTGGCGGCGCTGAAGCAGGCTGTGTTCGCCATCAAGGACGCTCACAAGCGGGCTGGCCAAGGTGACTCCACGGTGAAAATGCACCGTCTGTGGATCGTACTGAATTCACTGGAAAGGACAACGGTGAAGAAACCCCGGAGGCTGGGAGTCACTGTGCCCATGCTGAAGTGGATCAGCGAGAAGTTCCAGGTGGCCGATGAGGAGAGTGGGGAGCTTCGCGTCAACTGCAGGATGGTGGTGGCTGCAGTGTTGACGGCGTGGTTTTTCATGCTGAGGGCCAAGGAATTTTGTGATTCCGGTGGGATTGACTTCGAGATGGTGGTGCGCGGACAGGACATCCAGCTTGGAATCCAAGGACGAGCAGTGGAGAAGGACGCGCAGGAGGTCACCCTACAATTTAGGAAAACAAAGGCAGATCAAGAAGCCTTCGGGACGTGCAAGACAATGCTGAGAACGCAGGTGGAAGGAGTCTGTGTGGTGCGAGCCCTAGAACGTCTACGAGAAGTCGCGCCAAGGAGGTTCAAGGGTCCGGAGCAGCACCTCCCACTTTTTAGGTGGGCATCTGGCCAAACTTTGAAGAGGCTGGAAGTGCAACATGTGCTGCAGCAAGCAGCACGAGCGGTGGGTTTACCCGCTGAAAGGTTCCAGTCGCACAGCCTGAGGATCGGAGGAGCATCAGCGCTGTACCAGGCGACGGGGGAGGTGGAGATCGTCAAGAGAACGGGAAGGTGGAGCAGTGGTGCAGTACATCGCTACTTGCACGACAGCGGAGATGTGCTCAAAGGGCTGTCGGAGCGTATGGCGAAGGTGGACCAGTTCGTGCACTACACCTAGCCCGAGAACGCTATGGGGGGTTGAGGCCAGCCACATTGCAACATGCAGGGTGGCGAAATCCAACCAACAGTGCTGTCCAGCAGCAAAACAGCAGTTGTGCCTCCTGCTCAGTGCCGGAAGCAGCTATAGCACTTAAGTTGGAACTTTTGTAAAGTGTAACTTTGGGGCGCAGAGGTGATTCCGACGGTTCGCTAAGTGCGGCTCAGGTTGCAGTTTTTCTTTTGTGCAGCCCACCCTCCATCCCTGGGGGGTTGAGGCCAGCCACATTGCAACATGCAGGGTGGCGAAATCCAACCAACAGTGCTGTCCAGCAGCAAAACAGCAGTTGTGCCTCCTGCTCAGTGCCGGAAGCAGCTATAGCACTTAAGTATACATTATATATAATACATTATATATAATACATTATATATTATATATATACAATACATTTTATATAATACATTATATATAATACATTATATATATATAATACTAATACATTATATATAATACATTATATATAATACATTATATATTTAAAACATTATATATAATACATTATATATACTACATTATATATAAGACATTATATATTATATACAATACATTATATATATAATACATTATATATATAAAATACTAATACATTATATATATAATAC